CAACTTGTGAAAATTCTTAAACTCTCCACAAAAAGCCATTCTGATGTATGGAAAATCTTGAACTACTTTCAAGCTAGTGAGAAAACAGTGTTTATTTACGTAACGATTTATGATAAAGAATAATAAAATTCTAATTAAATTTTAACATGAAGAATTAACCTTATATATTCACTATTAAAGTTTTTAACACAAATTAGGATCAACTATAATTCAAAAATGATGGATTCATTTCAAGTTGAAATCTGATTGGTTCGTTCATACACTTCATTTTTATCGTTAATTATTTTATTTTTCTTAAAAGTGAATATTATCAACAGAATACAATGACATTGAGGACGGAATAGTCCTTCATATAACATGTAACAGGCTTTGTTTTCAACTGATTATCTGCTATTTTAAGTTTACATTTCTTTGTGTGCAAATCGTATTAAAATTACACACTTTCATTGTTCCCAGTTAAACTTTTTCTTTTATTGATTCCTATATATTTTAATATGTTGTGTATCACGTTCTACATTATCAGGCATCAGAAAAATCCATTTTACATACTATAATTACTAGTCGAATCATTCTTATTTAGTTAGTTGAATGGACTATTTAGTCAGGATTTAACTTCACCTTTTAGATTGATCAAGTTCAGCACACATAAGATGAGGTTGTCCACGTTCATAACTGACAATAATTGATGCTTAGATAACTTACCCTTAAATCAAACAATTAGAATTACAATCATTAATTTAGTAAGGAAATAATATTTATAAAAAATAAACAAATACCCTTGATCATGTAACATATCAGTGAATTAAAATAATGTAAACTAGGACTTCAAAAAAAATATTTCATACACATAGTTCCCTTTATTATCTTAAAGAGAGCAAGAACAAAGATTGACGCAGAATAATATGAATTCATTTTATTTCGTCAAGTTCTCATCAGCTGCTTACAACCTAAAATATTTGAAATTCAAAGTTATTATAGATATTGACATACTTATACACCAGAGGGCGATGAAGGATGAATAGATGTAACATAATGTAGCAAAGATTTCGTTAGAGTTAGTGAGGTCATGAAATTTTTGTTTCGAATATATAGAGTTTGAGAGGGAAAGTTCCGGGACATTTAAATAGTGATTAGAACTCATGAAGATAGATTAATGGTAATAAAGAAAATATGAATTGAAATCACTCAATTATGTATGATGTAATTTAAAAGAGTTGGAGTAATGACGCAATAAATAAATAGAGAAATAAATGAATATAAAAGGGAGTTATTGTAACCAGGGCAAAGAAAGATTGATTACTGTCTCTTTTTGTATACATAGATCTTGTTTTAAACGTTTGATTGCTACTACCTCGGCAAATTTCAAAAGGTTGGAGTTTAATTGTTTGTTAATCACCTTGAAGGACTTCAGTATATCAACTTTATGTCCTGTGTCAAGATGTCTTGCGATGGCACTGCTGGATACTTTTAATTCATTTCAATGTTCTGGAACATTCCCAAACTTTATTTATTCGAAACAAAATTTTATGACCTCATTAACTTTATCAAGATCTTCGCTACATCACGATACATATATTTATCCCTAATCACCCTCTTATGCATAAATATGTCAATATCTGTAATTATATTGAATTTCAAATATTTTAGGTTGTAAACAGCTGATGAGAACTTAACGAAATAAAATGAATTCATATTATTTTGCACTAATCTTTGTTCTTGCTCTCTTTAAAAAAATATGTTTGCTAGTAAATTATGTGTAAACTCAATATGAAACATTATTGGGTTAGAAGGTTAATGATTATAGTTTAAATATCATATTCCAAGATAATCAAAGGTGAAATATCCATGTTATTTTATTGTCTGATATTTAAAAATGATTACATAATTAATTATCAGAATATATACAGTTTACATTGAAAACTGTTATTTTCAGTTACAGAATCATTTTAATTTTCTGAATTTTGAATATACATAAAAATATTAAGTATAATGATAAATTCTTCAATGTCAGATAGCAACATATACTTTAAATAAGTTCACAAATTGTTCTGTGAAAAATAGAAGATAATTAGCTTCTATTTTAAAATACCGACATGATGTTGAAATATGTATTACATAGACTAACATAATGTATGATGTTCAATGATCGAATACAATGTGAAATCCTTGATCTATATTTCTTACTAGCTCTAACTTGTTCTGAAGATGTATGAGGACTGATATTCATAGTGGGATTTATTTTCGCCCGATGCAATATTACAGTCAGATAAGTTAACATTATGATATTTGAGAAATGTACAACCAATTGTAACAATAATGTATTAATATTGACTGATCAAGGAATAGCAGCCAGCACTAATGATAATCATAAGATTAAACATCATAGGGTGCATACTGTCACCTGAACTTTATCTAAGATACTTAGGAAATAAAACATGAGAGAAATTTCTAATGATATCGTCAGGGATGCGTAAAATATAGTTTTTCAAATATATTTTTATGAAATCTTCTCTAATTTAAATTGTATATGAAGCAGGATCACTTAAACTTGAATTCTCTGTCAAGAAATGTTAGAATTATGCAATGGACTACTGAGTTCAAGTCAAAGATCCTTATTGCACTGCAATTTCACCAGGATTTTCAGTTATTATCGTAGTTTATCGTGAACTGTGTGTAAATAAATATCGGCACTTGTTAAATCACAATCTACTTGTAAATGGTGGGAGGCTACCAAGAAATCCGATCATCTAAATCTCATATATCAACAGAAACTCAATCATTCTCTACTGAATATCAATAAGTCAGGATAAAACCCGGAACAGATAATATTGGATATAATTAATTAATAATCTTAAATGCTAGATCTCACTTTCATTACCTGATGGGTGGATTATTTACGTTTAAAAATAAATTTCATCATTTGTATTTTACACTGATTTTTTTACGCAATTTTTACGTTTTATTAGAAAAACGGCAAACACTAGACAATCATTAGGTAGTAACTAATTCTATGTTTGTTTTGGTCATAATGATGACCGAACCGTGTAAATTAAGCTTAGTGAACTATTTTTCGAAAGAATCCGAATACCTCATATTGACTACCTTCAATCACCATCATGTCTCAACATAATGCACGCAATGTCGAGTCACCTAGACTAGTGATCACATTGTAACTTGGTCGATAGGATTCGATCTGCACTAAGACGGACTTGACATATATGACATTGATCACCACCCAGTGATCAATCAACAGTAAATCCTGTAAAGTGTCTCCTACTATCTTACAACAAAAGTGAATTCTTCTTGTCGACTAGTTGCTATCATTTTAGACATAAGTTCACAGTAGGGTTTTGGGTAAATGATTTGATCTCCATGAATACTCATCACTCAAATATGCTGCTGATGCTATCAGTCACACGACAGTCAGTTAATCATACATAGTTTCCGCTTATTAAAATACGTTTAGTACTTTTATAGCAATGATATCTACGAGTTCCCAACAGTATGTTGTAACACTGGTACACAAGGAAGAAACATCTTAGAATATTATTCATTTCCCGTTTTAATTCATGTAATCCACCTTGAGAATGAAATCGAAAACGTCTTTAACCCTTCTACTAACAACTACTTTCTGTAGGGGACCCAGAATCTGAACTATTTAATTTCCACTTCTATGGTGTGAAGAGTTATAAATATCCAAAACTGGAAGAAGTGAAAATCCTGACTTGGGAATCTTGGGTAGGCCGGAGTTGTGATATATACATATATATACATCAAAGTGTATTAGATTAAGGATTGACGAGGGTATAATTAAAAAAAGAATTGTTTGTTTATACATGTTTTTCAAATTTACAATGTGGTAATGTTTTGTATTTTAGAATCTGTTCTAAAACATACACATTAATAATTCTGAAACTATTAAAATTAATAAAATCCTGTGCACTACACAACGATGAAACAACAATTTTCTTGATGTTACTACAGTAATGATTTCGGAGTTAAAGCATTCAGGTTTCTATCATCAAGTCATAGATCAGAACTTCGCTTCATCTTTTTTTGTTTAAGACAATAGAGTAGTATCACTAGCCCTAAAATTAAGATCATAACTAAAAACTCAAGTACACAAATATCCACCTTGTAATATATTTAAAGTGATGAACTTATAGGTCAAGGTGCAAAGTATTGTAAAAATATACCAAAATTATCTTAAAAAATGTCCAGATCTTTTTGTCAAAAACAAAAACTCTATAATACTCATAACAGTCAGTCAGTTAATCAGCTACAACGTAGGACCACGCACATTATGCGTCGGTACAAGTTGCCACACTTCATTAGCACAACAAGATGAACACTAAATTCATAGAAGTAGTTACTTCAATGGTAGTAATATATGAACGAAATATTTCAAATAAGAAAGGTATAAACCAATTCTAATCGCATGGTTTAAGAGCAAATGAAGAGTGCATACACTTAGACCATTGTGATCGATTCTGAGTCATATCACCCAATATCTCAAACTATTGGTTACAATAGTCATGCGGACCACAACCAAGTAGTCTACATCTACCAACATGGCTCAGATCAGACGTTAATAACTTCATGGACTAATGCTCAAAATAGATAAATTATCATCTTACTCAAATCTTAACCGATTCAATAATTCATATAACGATATATATTGATTGAATTTATTTTAAAAATTAACAACATCTTTATTTATTTTTTCGATAGTAAAATAGAAAAAAATTTCACTTAGCTATCTCTAGCCTATCATTTGGGAGAAAAAAAAAGATTTTTGCAAACTAGTCTTTTCATTCGATTACTTCTCACTAGTTCACCTTAGAATAATTTGTTCCCCTTCTCTAATTTTCGTTAAATGTATGCATGTATTTATATGCATCAGTATACAAGTAGTATATATATATATGAATCTGTCCTTTCATGTCTGTTTTCTAAAATAAAAAGATGATCAATATTTTTAGTACGACTGCCGTTTATTCTTTCATTTGCTTAACATTGGTCGACTATTATCAGGTGCTCCATCACTACTATTATTATTACTGCCAGCATAGAACAAACCAGTTCAATTTATCAGCTCATTATCATTATTCGAATAAATAATTTTTAAAAAAAACCACAGATCAAAATGACTAAACATAAGTGATTTTGATTGGTGTTATTATTATTATTGCTGCTACTGTTACTCTTATTAGTATTATCATTATTTCCTTCTAGTGGAAATTTTTCTTTATATTTTCTTTATCATTTCAAATTATTCCTTATAAAATATTGATTAATTTATTGATTCAGTTATAATATTCAATAACGATTACATTTTAAGAATATCTCTATTATTATTATGATTCTATTAAAATTATTTATCATTTATCAATGAATATTGTGAATTGTTTCATGAGGAATTACAAAAGTGAGTTGTATATAAGTACAATGATGATGATTATTATTATTATTGTTAAAAACTAAAATTTATTGATTTATCCATTTGCCAATTTTATTTTAATAGTCGTCGAATTCATGATTCGATGTAAACTAGACTACCATCAGAAAACTGGAGGCATTGAATGGCTGTTTTGTTCTAGTATGGAACTTTTCATCAGTGTGCATTCATGATCCTGCACGCGGAATTCGAATCCAGAACCTTTGGTTTAGTGTGCAAACGGTGTTAATGTTTCACTTCCATCAGTCCATGAGTGGATGAGCAACCACTCATCCATTGTCTTATGTAGATTCCTATCTCTAGCCGACATAGATTGAACTTCACTGTTTACGCACACTTCTGAGGAGTTTCATACTAGGACGAAAAATCTGTCCATTGCTTCCAGGTTTTCAATGATGATCTACCTTACATCGACTCATGAATTCAGATAATTAAATTATTACAATCTTCACAAACTCCATTCTGATCATAATTTTAAACAACAATTATTTACCCTGAAATGATTTAAATTTCACAAGATAATATCATGGATACTTATCTGAAACGTTTATAACAATGGTATTTATTTATCCAACGTGAAAGTGAGTTTGTATGTATGTGTTTTTATATATCGAATACATTAGCTTGTATACATTTGATTCAGGGAAATTAAAGATTTTAATATGGCACATTACAGTTTTTCCATAAAAACAAATAAAAACTGTAAATTTCGTATAATATGCATTAAAGTTTGTAATATTATGATTCTTGTGTTTTGGATGGATGGAAATGAAAACAAAAGTGGTTAAGATAACTTCATGTTATTATTAAGGGTTTGTATTGACTTTTACTGCAAGCCATATGCCAAATCAGTTAAAATGAATGACAGTGTGATATAGCGTTAATTGACTCAAGATTTACATATATGGCAACGAAAAATGATCATCTACAGTCCTGAATATCAACAAACGTAAAATACAAATCCTAATAACTCCATAATCGTTGGAGTTAGTAGTTATAAGTACTCAGTAGTTTAGAGGATAACGAATTTGGCATTTAAAGGAAAATATTCTGGGTTCATGTCTGAGAACTGAAGATCTACGGAAAGATACTGGTTTATTTCGGTAACAATTTTTCATCCTGTATTACACAGCTTGTCATATACATAATATTTTTTACTTATCTTTGGTGAGATATGTTTCAGGATAGGAGACTTCTCACAAGTTGTCTATGTTATTCATTATCATTCGACATCTGTCACAGCACCCATTTAAAGTCAGTTGATATTATGTGGTTGTTTTGTTACATTTTTCTGTCATTTATCAGATAGGAAAGTTATTTCTTAGAATTTATAGACGTATATCGATTTAAAATTTTTTAAGGTATTCTCCAATATTACGCGTACTGAGTATTACAAGGCTTGCTATCTAATGTTCAATAATAGTTATTTGTGCTTAGGAAAATATGACAGACTTTATAATATATTGCGTACCATGATTTAGTTAGATATAAAAAGATAAGGATCGATGAATTAAGTAATACTTTGCTCACTGTTAAACTTATGACTTCTGGGTTCGAATCTGTCTGTAACTGTTGTTATGCACTGATGAAGAGTCCTGGAATGGGAGGAAAACAAATGTGAATCACTTGTTGATTATCATTGGTTGTTCCTCCTTTAGCTTCAAATCTTAATCAAACTAACTTTTAGTTATCTAATAAAATTATGAAATGAAGGGTTTCATACCTCTGAGAGCATTTAAAAAATTATTAAGGATAAATATATATGAGCTGTAATTTCTGAAAACTATCCATTATCTAGCTGTACATTAATAATCATTATTTCTGCTTTTCAAATCTAATACAACCAAGTGTTTAAAATGGATTCCTGATATAGATCTTTTTTAAAAGACGATCTCCCTAAAATGAAAACCTTGATTTGATTTGGTTAAGATATCATTTGGGTCTTATTCATGAGATAACCAATTTTCTAACTATTAATATCATGATGATAGCAGCAGTAATGTTTGATACTCAAGACATTTTAAAATTAGACATTCAAGATCTGGTATATTTTGATAAATGCTAATGATGAGATTTAGAATGAAACTTCCGTTCTATTTTGGATTTGTCCAATAAATGTGCTTTCATCTACGGGCTAATATTGATACGATATGAGGTCCCAGATATTATTGTCCACTGTTAAAAAATAAATATATCTGAAGCTTTTTAAAAAAAAATAACAACAACTTCTTGATCAATGATTTTGAATAAGTTTTATCTAGACAATCTTCGTCTTCTAATATCATTATTGAAATTTTATCTAATACTTCTGAATACAACACAATTTGAATAATTTTCATCAAGACACACATTCTAAGTCATCATAAATATTACATGATAATGAATAATATGATATGAAGTGCACATTTGTATTACAACCATATAAGAAGGAATATAAAAATGCTTGAACATAGTTTTGTCATAATTTATGACGAAAACTTTGCTTAAATAATAATAACAATAACTGTTGACTAGGAGAATATTTCATTTTACTGAAGTCATCACTGACTAAACACAAAACCTTATTCAAATGGACAATTTTATTTTAAGTGAATATAATGATTAAGAAACAAATTCGCTATCAGAATATGTTGTTCCTAGCAGGGGTTCGAATGATTAAATTGTTGATATTCAAAGTTGCATCTCGATTAAACTTTATAGAAATATAACTACCTTGGGTAGGTCGTCTTGATACAACTATTATGTCAGAAGTATTTTTAGAATAGTTGGGTTGTGGTTATTAGTGGAATTCGCAAAGTACATTTCATGTTATTTAAGAGTAATCAGCTGGATATTCCAAGATTTCAATGTTGACTTTAATGATGATATAAACATTATAACCATTGTACAAGTTGGTAGCTATCTGACCTAACTCATTGATATCTGAACATCAACATAGGTTCAGGTACATTGTTCTCATAAGTCCTAAACAGAACTAGTGGTTTTCAAAGTAGGAAAACGTTGATTTTTTTGTGCATTTGTACAAACGATACTACACATTTGCCTATAGTTTACCTTATAATCTATGCAATGTGGCAGAAATAAATAAAATATCACATTCATTTTGGTAAAAGTAGGAGTTTTTAAAAATTAGTTTCCATTTTGATAACAATAATCATCTTCTGTTATACAAAAAACATAGATGTTTCATATATATCAAAAGTAATGAAATACTTCTCTTGAAATAACTTAGTTTTCAAAATAGTGTAAAAATGGTTGATCTTCTTATCAAAGGACTCTACAAACAGCATAATTAGACGTAAAATTTTCATTTACAGTCGTCTGATTACAATAAAAATTTAAAACGAGTTGTACTAGATTACTAAATGAAATGATCTAGAAAGTGTATGCAATTAGTTTACACATCCCATTATGATCAGCTAGGAAATGATTGAAAACTGAGAAGTATTTGATAGATGATTCTTAGTTCGGAACACTTCAGTATATCATAGACATGTGCCTCCATAAGATTCAATCCGAATCCTTTAGATTTCATGAAATGCATACGAATCTAATTTCTAACCGCATTTAGTTCACAATAGTCCGTGACTCCTATCTTGTTTTATCTGGGGTAGTCGCTAAAAAATACAATTATGATAGAAATCGTAGGTTTTAACATGCGGATATGACTGGTGTAGCCCAGCCATAGATAGAATGAGATTAAAAAAGTATGTATATATTTGATTACCATCTATTTATGCAGTAGTACCAGGCTTGTATCTTAAAACTAGGAGTTCTTAAACTTCATACAATGTATAATTTTGTATTTCCATCGATAAGAAGATCAAATCAAAACTAAAAGGTTGTTCACCTTCAACTGAATATTAGTCAGTCTCGAGTTGCTTTTAATTCATCATGTAAAGTGGTTATATAAAAAAGAGTTTATGATCTGATGAACGAATTCTCGATCGTTAAAGTGAAAAAAATCTTGATCAATAAGTGAGATACAATGATACAATATAGTTAGGTGATGGTTACTCGCAAGATCGAATTATAGACATTAAATCCCCAATGATTAGAAATTAAAGACAATACTACTAGTCAGATAACTAGAATTTCCACTACAATAAGATTTTGATGTACAAATCTCTAAAATGAGAAATAACACGATTAAATCCCATAAATGGTTGGTTAATATCAATATTTCTTAGCTCGCTTGCTTTTTAATGAATTAATTCATAACTTTTGGATCTAATTCTAGTTTGTCATATGAAATATCAGTTTTTGATTGATAGTTACCGACTAATTACTTTTGACATGATTGGACGTAAAACTGATATGTTATTTTGTTTGCTCAAAATTTCATTTAACATATATAACAAAGGTTACAAATCAATAGATGTAAACTGTATAAGATGAAAGATTCCTTTTGAAACAACTAATTAACTTTATCAAAAAGGGATCTTGTGAATATTATAGTAATTTAATAGTTGAATTCATGAGTCACTTAAAGCTAGACCATCATGGAAAACTTGGAAGCACTGAACAGCCGTTTCGTTTTAGTGTAGGACTAAAAAACAATAGGTTTATTCTTTGTTCATAATTAAAGGTTTTAACTTTTCCTAGATGTTAACCTCTATCAATAACAAGAAGACTATTTAATCAACTACTGATGTCACATCCCTTATAATGTAACCCTCATTCTGTGTGTAGGAGAGTTCAGAGTATTTCTGTGAAATTCTTTAAAGTTTAAAATGATTTGATAAGAACTTAATTTTTCATGTTTAAGTTAGTTGAATAGATTATTACTGAAATGAGACAAAAACACATGATATTCATTGAGAAAATCAGTGACTTTATTTAACTGCTCCAATAAATCATATTACACCATGTTGTAAAACATCAGAAACTGAATTTTCAGTGAGGCTATAATTTATGGACGACCTTTTAGCGAGGCCAAAGTGATCTTGAGAGTGTCGACCTACTTAATA